TAGTGGTGGCGCCAAGGTCCCCAACAGGCATATGGGTGGTGGAGTGGTGTTATTGGGGGCTGATATCCACGACAAGGGGAAAAAAAATTAGGCATGGTCTGGCATCGCTAAAAACTTTTCGGAAGTGGTTCGGGGGCCGATGCCTCCCCCCACCCGAAAATACAACAATTTAGGGGTTTCAAGGGCTTATTTCATCAATACCAAGACAAGGTAGCCTGCCTAGTGCCCCAGTGGGGTCCACGAGGCAAAGCCTTGGAAGCCTGGAGTCGTATCTAATTGATTTTAATAAAGAATGCAATTAACATTTTTATTTCCACACTACATTTTCAAAATACAGTAGCAGATCCAAGAATTTGAAAAGGGGATTTACTTTATCATTATCAGTGGCAGATCCAAGAATTTGAAAAGGGGATTTACTTAATTTATCATTATCAGTGGCGAATCCAGGAACCCAAAATAGAGGGGGTGGGCCCCCGACCCTGAGGGGCCATATCCATAGGGTCCTCGATCTAGCACCCTGACACAAAGGGGCTTTGCTGATACATAACAACACAATAAAGTATGTCTCTAACATCGACTATTGGACATTTTATTAGGCTTTTATCCAGTGCCGGATTAATTGTCTCGGGCCCCCAAAAATTTGTCAAAATTTGTTTTTAAAATGTGAGTGCCATTTCCTGCTGTCTAGAGATGCCATAATCATTAATTTTCTTACCTCAGCCACAGACTTGGTGTGGCTGAGGTGGTATAGACCCTCCATTTGTGAAAGTCCCTCCTTGCTCCATAAAATTCTTGGAACCGCCGATATTTATTTATTTATTCTGCCTTTAACGTGATAACACTTTCAGTGACGCAGCACTGATCTCACTAGTGGATCACATGAACAAAGAAGTAGAACAAAAAGAAACATTTAAAAAAAATAAATAAATAAAAAGAAACTTAACTAAAATAAAAAAGAACCAATTCAAATGAATTAAAAAGAAGGCAAGAGAACAGAGGCTGGTCAGAAAGATATAATTAGTTTTCTGTTTTGATCAAAGTTTTGAAATTTTTAAGTTGGAGATCATTTAATTCTATTTTAATTTGGTTTGGAAGTTCGTTCCAAGCCTTAGTTGCACGGTATAAGAATGTTCTCTTGCCTTGAGTGAGTTTCCATTTTATCTCCATCAAGGTGTTGTTAGATTTATTCCTAGTGCACTGAGAGTGGCTATTTTGATTAAAAATGAATTTGTTACATAGGTAGGATGGGGCAATTCCTTTCAGGCACTTACAAGTGAGTAATAATAGGTGTTCCTTCCACCTATCATTTAACCTATTCCATCCTAAATCATCCATTAAATCCTTGATGGGTGTTTTAATGTCGACTGAAAGAATAATTCTTCCTAACCTATTCTGGAGAAAATAAGAGTTTAGATAGGCCCAGGCCTAGACAAAGGGGATATGACTTCTTCGGCCCCCGACACCTTCAGCCGCGCGAGATTTATATCTGTCTCTTATACACATCTTTGTGTTGAAAGGTAGGAACTGTTTGACACGGCGAATGACACCAATTCTTTTAGAAACTTTTGAAGAAATATTTTCGATATGTGTAGCCCAAGTTAAATTGGAATCAAAGTACACGCCAAGATATTTAGAACAATTTTTCAATGTTAATATTCCCATGGATAAGAGAAATATTAGAAAATTTAGGAAGCACATGGGGTGTTCCAAATATCATAAATTTTGTTTTTTGTACATTTAAAGTCAATTTATTTTTATTGAACCACTGACTAATATAATTAAAGTTTGCTTGAAGTTCATTTTGAAGTTCAGTGGGATTAGAGGAGCTGCAGAGAATTGTTGTGTCATCTGCGTACATTACGCATTTACCTTTAATTATATCAGGGAGGGAGTTAAAATAAGAGCACATCTAAAATCCCCTAACAAAATTGGTGAATGCCCAGAAAGGGCCCGTTAAAAACATTTAGAATATGTTTTAAGTTTGTAATATGTTTTAAGTTTATTTCTATAAATTATTTTTAAACAGACCTGAAAGCTTAGATTTACACAATTACGTTGTGATAAACGGCAACAGAAAAATAATACTAGCCATATGAATTTCAGAATATTTATTAAATTGTAGGCACATAATAAAAGATTTTTCTAATGGGGATTCACCTAATCATGCTTTTTATAAGTTGTCAGACCTGTTTAACTGTCTGAAAATAAGCACATAGATTGAATTTTTTTTTTTTTTGCAAACCTGCTCGCAACCTAACGCAAAAGTTTGGTGACTGATTTTTGGGTCGCAACCCATAGTTCGGAAAGCATGGATCTAAACTGTAGTGTAGATTACTCCCATCAATGTGTTCTTTCAATTGAATTAATGTGAAACTATATACAATTGAAGGATATAACTTTTTGTGTGCTCCTACTGTAGCTAACTCTGGCCCCGCCCCCTGGTAATTTTGGCACTAATACGGTTTCGCATTCAGTCCTAAAATCATTTACTAAATTATTTTACACTTACAATTATTCAATACTAATACATTCCTTGATGATTTTACTTTCCTATAATCCACTTATTATAACAATTATGGTTTCTAATTAAGTTAATTAACCATTAATTAGGATGGTTAACGTCTTTGCGGTGCACCATCTTACACTCCCAGATTGTAGTACATGTCAAAGACATTGCGGTGTTGCCAGAATCAGGGCAAAATTATACCATGGTAGCCATAGTTGTGCACTGAGTTTAAGCGCATCTAGGCCTAAGTGGAAATAGTATGAATGTAACTCAAAATTTTAATATCTACTTTTCGCTTTTATTTCATCTTCATCAAGAAAAATACATAATACAAAAAGACAACATTGGGCTAGAGATACGGTACCGTATTTCTACTTCATTTTGCTAAAAGGTACGGTAAATGGCATTACGTCACCATTACCTAATGAAGAGGCAGAATATGTGTGACATCATCATTTAAGACTGACATTGCAGATCAACTACAATGAGCGGAAAAATATGAATGATGTACTGGGTAAATTAGAACATTAAAAAGTACAATACTATATTAAAATTACAGTACTACTGCCATCGATAAATAGGCGTATAGTTCCACTCCACTCAGTAAAGAGTCATGTCATTTATCTATATATAGCCATTATCAAACAAGGACTGAATCCTGTACCAAACTCTTGGCATATGTCACTAGGCCTTGCTTAAATTCTTTGCTTGGCGGGGAACTAAAGCAAGGCCTACGCCTTTGCTTGGATTCTTCGTTTGGCAGCGGCCCTGCTATAGCGAAAGATCGATCTGGGTGGCATATATCAGTCATAAACTAACTCCTGCATTGTTAAGTTCTCAACTTTCAAAATCTCATCCCAAGTTTTAGTCCAAGAAGCCTAGGTATAATATAATATATTCAAAATTACCACACTTTACAATCCAACCAACATACACTTTGAATACACATGCATAACCAATACCTCCTTGATTTACCTAACTTTACGTAGACTTCGTCCTGTTACTTCCATCAATCATAAGCATCATTCGTTCAGCCAGAATTCAGATCGAGAGAATGAGTTTCCACAATCATGATTATTAGTGTCAAATTTGTCGAATATGTTTTGATGCAGGCCCATTTAAACAGTAAGTTTCTAGTAATCCTATAAGAATCCTCTTATTTACAGTTTACAGTATATTCAGTTTTTATTGCATGTGTTGTCATGTAAATGGACTAGACTGAGTGGTATGTCAACTCTCTTTGCGAAGACATAAGCAAGGTGGCCTGGGCCTACATAATGAGGATTCATGCCTTCCTTGATATGGCTATATAGATAAATGACATGACCCTTATTACTAAGTGGAACCCTTACACTGCGCCTATTTATCGATGACAGTATTATAAACAAATACCATATCAAGGTACCAAGGTACCATGTTCTAAACCAAGTACTTATTCGCAAGTCACACCGCTCACCTCCCACCCTATCACACTATGGGTGATCTACAATGCCGGTCTTGAAAAAACACACATTCTGGCTCTTCATTGGGTGATGGTGAAGTAATGATCTTTGGCGTACCTTTAGCAAATCAAAGTAGAAATACGGTACTGTATCTCTAGCCATGGCGTAAAGACAAACTACAAAACAATACAAGTTTCCAGAAATCCTAATGCAGCGAAATAATTGGTCAGAAAAATTACAATTGGGCACAAATTATATGACACTCTGGTAACCTGAAGTCGTCAACTGTACTGTGTGTGTCGTAGGGCGGAGCGGAGTTGATAGTGTTGAGCGATCGGGTGTTTACTATCTATATATTGTACTGTACCGTCCTAATTATTGGTTAATTAAGTGGCTTAATATGAAAGTCAAATCATCAAAGAACATGTTGGTGTTGAATAATTGTAAGTTTTAAATATTTTGGTAACCGTTTTTTTTTTTTCTTTTTTAGGGCCGGATACATATTTATTTAGCCTGATTTTATCGTCACGAAATCGGCATTCCCGTCAAGGACATCGAGACCCCGTCGGTCATATTCTGCTACCACCACCGACTCGGAGCCACCTGGAATCATTCTGAGATGACAGGAGTGGACTAGGCCTATAAAGCTAGAGTATCATGTAGGCCCCTATGTGGTAGTGGCAGCACTGGTCTGGCCTGTAGAAGGTAGCCTACCTAGGCCTAAGAATTTCCTCCAGGGTCCAGGCCTAGCTAGTTAGTAGTTCATGGTATAACTAATAATAAGCTCCTACCTCCACCAAATTCAAACTGTAGCTCCTTTAAATGTTGTAGATACTATATCTCGATGTTGTGCCGTACAAAAAGAGGAATTTTACGATAAATCCAACTTCCAGGCTCCATCCATAACACACCACGTTTTTACCTACCCGCCACCTTGTTTGTTTACCTCTCGACGTGACGTCAGGAGGCTTGATGTACGATGCGCCATTGGCGTCTCTACAAAAATACTGAAAAAAAAATACTGTAATACTCTGGCTTTTGTTAATAAAAATAATAATAATAGTTCTTTATTTTTTCTCATAATTAACAAATCTAAACGAAATGAAATTCATAAAAATGTATAAGCTTAAAACCTATCAAAAACTAATGAATGTGGCCTTCCATATAATGTAAATTACGCCCCCAATCGATGCAATAAAGAGTTCGATCCTGCACCCTTTCACTTCACACCAATGGGACCACGATCTTACGATTTTTAATGACACCTTGGGATCTTGGGATTTTTTGTTAACTTTTCATTAAATCTTGGTATTTTTGGAATAATATGAATTGTTTATTTTTTTTTCTATCCAGAAGTGACAAAATAGACTGCTAATGGCCTTATAATAACACCATAGTTGACAGCTGTGATTGAGTGTTGTTTATTTTGTTCAAAATAAGACCCATAAAAAAAAAATTATAAAAATCAACGCCTTTTTTCTATTAAAGTATGAGTTACGCTACTGGAATATTCTTTCATTCTGATTTACCTTTGTTTTCGTTTCTAAAAATGGGCTCAAAAACGTGTACGACGAAAAAAAAATCATGGTAGTCAGTGTCTTGACGAGCGCATTGTGGGCAACGAAATGATTTCACACAGCAGAGTCAGAAAAACACACGTCATCAAAAGACTACAGTACAAGAGTTATTAACGTATTTTGCTGTGATTATTTTGTCGTTATTGACATGCTCCATTTTTTTTCCGTTGTTCTTATTACTCTCTGCTTTCCCAATAGGACATAGGCCTATCATTGTTTACTTTAAGATAAATATCATTAGCAGCAGATAATTTCATCGTCAATCAAGACCTGCTATATAAATTCAGTTCAGTTCAGTTCAGTTTTATTGTTTCACACAATCATCATAATAAGTCTACAGTAGTATATTAACAGTAGTTACTGGCTGATAAATTCCACCAATAACTCTCACTAAGATTGTCTAATTTGAATGATCGCCACCAGGTGCATCTATGGCTTTGTTATATCTGTCATCCCGACCCCCACCACTCCAACCCATTATATGATTAAAAATAATTTATACTGCCACAAAAAAAAAAAATAAATAAATAAAAATGGGCAGGGCGATTATTGGACACCTGTTCAATGACCTTATGGGCAGTCCGAAATGATTTTTAAAATTGTCATAATAAGTTAATAACAACAACAATAAAGCGCTAGCCTAACTGTCCATAGCTTAATTCTCTGAAAAAAGGTGGCGCTTCAGTTGTTTTTGAAGGCATCAAGAGATTTCTCTTTGCGAATGAAAGATGTGAGGTCATCCCAAAGAGCAGGAGCAGCAACAACAAATGATCTCGATCCATACTTTGATTTAAATTTGTTAAGTTGAAGAAGGTGTTCAGTACTTGACGTACCTGAGTGTCCTCTGGGTGAATAACTAAAAGTGAGGTTGGAATATAATGAAGATTTCGCAATTAGGCAACCAACTCAGGACCTTCCGCATACAAAGCGAACTTCATAACCACGAAGGCGTTGTGGTGGTGAACCAAGAGAATTGGAGACCATTTGTTAACGTGTCTGACGTGACGATTTTGAAATAGCAATAACACTGCATATGACTAGACTGCCAGATATCTATAAGATACGCCCTCTTCTGTGCATTATTTTCAGATTAGTATATTATATATAATGTAGAGGCCACGACCATGGCATTTTTTTTATAATGTAATTTAAATATAACAATTTGTGTATGTAGTCCTAATATATATATATGGTCATGATTCACACTCATTCGAAAACAGTTTTTAAAACATCTTAAAGAATGTGAAACATACGGTATAAGATGAACGCTTAACGTACCACAAATGCAACAAATGAGAAGATCAACAACATAGATTAAAACGTTCACGACCATGGCATTTTTTAAATAATGTAATTCAAATATAAAAATTTGTGTATGTAGTCCTATAAATTGAAAACGTTTAACATCGCTTAGAGCGCTTAAATCAAACGAGGTGACACTTATGTATTGCATTTTCCACTTTCAGTTTCAGGATCATATATTCTACTTCTTTATATTAATTTATAGACCATTATTCTTTGAAGATTTGTTGAATTATATCCGCTGTACTTTGTAAATTCCATTATACAGGTTGGCAAATCATCAGCGTAGCTATCTTACTTCTCGTTATAGATTTAATGTTGTACGAGCATCTTATTGTCATGGTCTATTACTTTCTTCATTGGAGATTGTGTAACCTAGTTTAAGAACATTTATATATTCCAGTTTACCCCCACGTCGTTATTTATGGATATTTAGTAAATCATAGCCAAGGTCATAGTGTAAATTAATGCGTTGGATTTTCATTCCCCTTTGCATATTCCTTATGTCTAAAAATATTCATCTTCATTTATTTAGGTATAGATATCAATGATACTGACTTACAGTAGAGTAGTCTTTTATAAATATGCTTGTGAAGATAAATTGCATATTAACACTAATTGATCATGTATGCCAAAATTCTCTTAGCCGTGGATAAATAGATGAGCAGAAGTAGCAGACAGGTCTATAAATAGGCCATTATATAGAACACACAACACTTTAATATATCCGGTGACAGATCTCCATTCTTTATGTTGTGAATACCGGTACATAACGATATCTTCATCTATACCTTATTATTATTTTTAATGTCTCACGATTGAAATCTCTCTTGATCTCTCTAGTGCTGGACCCTAGCCGTCGGACCAACAATTACAATATTATATTATAAGTAGGGCCTATGTCAGATAACGATGTTGATACATTTCAAATCTCGAACTTAATCTCTTAATCGGAAATATTGATAACGGTGCCATGTCGTGTCAAACAAAAGCGAACTGAAGAAACCGTACAAGAGTTTAATGGAATGTACTTACCTGCTGTGTTTCAGTACTAAATAGGTGGGAACAACAGAGCCAAGCTACAATCCTATATAAAAATTATACGATTTAACACGACTGTTTGCTCATTTACATACAAAAAAGGCGTACTGTTTGCTGAACGTTTTCTTCCACTATCGATTACAACTATCTAATGCTGTTCAATCAATCATTACTTGGTACTTCATAGTGCTTTGTGGTTACAAAACACGAAGTTTTAACTCTTAAGTTGCTAGGCCTACAGGTGTTAATTTTCTATTACGGATACGAAATTCCCATTTCAAACATGTTCTAGTTGAGCAGTATGTCCATTGTTGCGGCTATAATATTATTGGATTAGTATAAATTATTATTAAATTATTATACATTATATATTATTGTTGTTATTTAATCCTGAAAAAATGTGATCTGGTTATGTGTATATAATTACAAATGGTTTTTGATTTTATTAAAACCAAAGAGATAAAATGAAAAACCATTTGTAATTGTTGCTATTGTTATGGTTACTGTTGATGTAATTGTTGTAACGTTGTTGTTATTGTTCCTGTTACTACTATTGCATATAATATCAATAATATTATTAATATCATTATTATTAAACACCTTTGTGCAGTTATGCAAGAGTTAGCATGTAATTCTAATGAATATGAAGTCCATCAAACGCTTCAATTGATTTTAGAAATTAAAGGGCGCCCCCTATCGCAAGCCTAAAGTTTTATCAGCTTCTCCACACATTCACAGTAGCATAATGTCAATGCTCCCGGAATTCCTTACGTTGTCTATCTGAAGGCAGAATGTCACTACATATAATGTCATTGTCAGGCAATTAACCTCGTGCGTTGGCATGTATCTCATGGTGGGTGCAAGTAATTAACGCGTCAGAAAAAAAACCCAAATCAAACAGCTGTTTATAAACGTTGTTAACAGTAACGTTTCGAAAAGCATTATTGTGTTTCTTTATTACAGTTATTAAGACCAGGATTTAAAAAGCTGCGTATGCCCAACGCAATTCAGTTAACACTAACTTTTCGAAAAAACATTATTGTGTTTCTTTAAAGTTATTAAGACCAGGATTTAAAAAGCTGCGTATACTACTAAATGCAATTCAGCAATGTTTAATTGCTTTGGTAGGCCTACGTCAGGCATACCGCATCTGTCATCATTAGACTAAAGGACCTTTTGTGTCAATTTTAAGTACATTTTACACGTAACACGCCCACATTATGACGCACATTAACTTAGACATTTAACGTTCAGTTTCATTGACATCTTCTGGAATATCATGACACTTGACACAGCACCAACTATAATTTAAAGATATGAATCATGAATTTTAGCTAACCTTTGATCCCTTTTAAGTTCGTTCTTATATAATGTCAATAAATGGACATTAGGTCTCAGTACATCAGTCTGATAGTATGCGTCATAACAAGTTGAACCTTATACATTTTGTAGGCCCATATTTTTCTTACGCTATAATTAACTCGATCTAAGCAAGTTGTGTCATAACTTTAAAACCTTACCGATCACAAACAGGATTTCCTTAGTTCTGAAAATACATTTTTCGAGTCATTGGCGCTGAAGCATTATGACGCCATTTACAATTTTCTCACTGGAAAATTACTATCATCAAGTTTAGAGCGGTACAACAATGGAGCATTTCCACAAATCAGTTGAACTTGTGACATTCCACCGTCGATTTGGATATTCCTAACGGTTCAAATTCTCAACGTTCCATAATTGCATTTAAATGAACATTGTGGAGTATTACATATCAAAGATATTAAAACCACCCACTTCACAAATATATAAGTTTATTAAGCAGATCTGGTAGAATTAGTAGGCCTACCTCATTAACCAAAACCTCATTAACAAAAAACTCATTCATTCCTTGTGCAACCGGTGCAACTAAGCAACTGAGATGTTAAAGGAAGATTTGTTTTATTTTTTTGCTCTATATACTTTTTAATATTTTCAGTGTGTGTAGTCTGCAATCTGTGTTTTGATATTTTAGTAATATTATTCATTGTATCGGGAAAGAAAATTGAAATTTGGAGTCTGTTATATAGTAATCCAGAATATTCCCAGAAGGTGAGCATTCATCCGTTTATGAAAATTACAAGTAAATTATTCTCAATGACATCTAGTGAAATATTCCCATTTTTCATTACGAGTAGGCCAATTCCAGAAGAATTTTTAAACCACGAATCTCTCTGAGTTTACATAGAAAGTCGCTATAAGTGCATTAGTCATTGCCTTTCTATTTCAAAATACATTGGTTCTGATTCATCATACGAAAAGATATAAAAAAAAGTCATCTAGTATTCTTCATGCGCAATAAGTTTCGTTACGGTAAGGGCACATAAAAAACGTTATTAGATTATCACTTAAAAAAAAAAGTGTTCTTTTTTTCCGGAACAATAGAAAAGATCTATTGCTTTTTTTTATATATCATGAGGGAGGGACTGTTTTTATTTGGCAAGAATATTGTAAATATTGTATAAAATTGCATTGCTGTTGAAATAAATGATGCGGCAAAAAACAATTTTTTAAAATTCCTGCATGAATATTTTCCCAAATTTTTGACGCTGGCGGGAGTGATAATCTAACAATTTTCTATGTGCCCTAATATTGAGTTTGGTCAAAAAGGGAGTTGATAACACGTTTTAGCAACAGACAACATAATTAAAAGTACTGTAGTAGTAGTTTCTGAATTGTTCAACTCAGTTTTTGTTCCAAGACTTCGTGAAAAGTACAAAAATGAACAATATGTTCCTTTCACCAATTTTTGAAACAAAAAACTGAGTTCCGTTTTAAAAAATCGTGATTACCTGTCTTACGGAAGGGAATGAGATGTTCCAAATATGATATGGAACGAAAAAATGTATGGTAATCGTATAATCACAGTCCACATAATCATGTACCAATGTCATAAATTAGGTAAATCAACTCAGAAACTTCGCCAGGGAATAATTAAAGTGGAATCAATTAAATTGTTTATGACAGTTATATATGAAATAAGTACCCGTTCTTCACTACTTTTTGAAAAATCATTAACATCAATCAAATGTGGAAAAGCGCTGAGACTTTGCGTAGAACGCTATAACATCATCATCATCATCATCATCATTATCATCGTCATCATTATCATCATCATCATCATCATCATTATCATCATCATCATCATTATTATTATGAATACATCAATGCGTGTTAAGTAGATCTTCCAATAATAAGATCTATACGGGATTACATCAATGCCCAACTTCGTAATATTGGATATCGAACAACTATTTTCACTTCCTTTTTGATGAATTAGATGGTGTTGATGATGATTATGTGTAGATGGGGTTTGTTAATGACGAGGAGGAGTAGGCCTACGAGTAGGACGAAGACAGTGACAACGAAGATAACGATGGTGATAATGATAATAAGGACGCCTCCGTCAGTTGATGATAATATTCTTGATGATGATGATGATGACAATGGTGATTATAATAATGATAAATCATCATCATCCAGAGGTGTTGTTTGGCGCAGCGGTTGCGGTTCTTCTACATAGAGGTCGGAGGTTCGATCCCTCGCTGTGCATTTCGCTTGTTTCCTGTCAAGGTACTTTACGTACGGGTAGATTCAAACACAAAATGCGCTGATATACAGCTGCAAAATTATGGATTTCCCCCCAGTGAGCTGAGTATGTGTGGTATAATTATTTGCTTGATCCAATTACCTAGGGTTATAGTGTGAAGCGTTGGAGGCCTTGTTGTCATGAAGCATTATATAAGGCTAATATTATTATTAGTAATATTATTGTATTTTTTTTTCTTGTGTAAACCTATGTCATCACTTTATAATGCTGGTACCATCGTCATGCATAATTAAAGATACAGGTATGTTGATGATGACGTGCCGTACCTGCTATTTCTTTTTTCCGTTTCCGTTTACGTGTTTTCTTTTTTTTGTTTTTTGTTTTTTGGTCTGTGCCACTTATAAAATACGATAGGCATAATTATAACAAAAACACTTTTCTTCCATCTGTATACTTATTTAAAATAAGGTTTGTACGTCAAATCGCAAATTAATTCCACGTTTGCATGACACTATGAGCACGCATTTAAAATGTAAACATCCTGAGTTTACCTTTCCGTCATTGGATTCATGTGATTCAGCGAAGTGATATTAAAGTGTCCATTAACCGTTAGGCAATAGATGTAACTTGTCGATGCGGCAGCCGATGCAATAACCCACACGACATTTTCCGAGATTGTCAGAGACGGTCAAATAGAGTAGCGTTTCGTCGGCCAATTCCGCTTATACAGAACACGGACGTGTTCCTTCGGTCGACGGTAGGCGGACATTGGTTTACGCAGTGTATACCCTTTACCTAATGTACCCCAGACTATAGAGCGCCATCACTTTACTAGTTGGCCTAACCTTTAGTCCTAGTATTATTTAATAATAAATAATAATAGTGTAGTTTTATATAGCGCACATATCCATCTAATGCAAGATGCTCAGGGCGCTTGATATGTGGACTAGGAACTCGATCAATGACTTTCTTCGCCCCTAAGGGTCCCTTCGTGTTGTCTATTAAGTTACCCCTTCCTATTTGCTCTCATCTCAAGCTTCATTCGTGATTCCTGTAAGGTCAGCGTCCTCCGAAAGAGACGAAAAGATGTATAATCATGCACGACAGGACAGTCTATAGACAGACTGTAGATAATCGATCGTGTAATCAAATTGGCTATTGTACCGTATATTACTCACTGTACATTAGCAAAATTCCACCAATTAATCTGCTAATTTGCAATCAACACTCGCCACACAAAGCACGTACAAGTAAACGAAAAATGTAGCTTTATGCGTGTTTGCGTAACGCTTTCATTATCTAGAACAAGGTGTTTATAATTAGATAATGATTTAATCCGATCAGTGTCATATGGGAGGAACCGCTTTGAGGTGGTCCCCGATGTGATCAGAATCATCGCAAATACCATTCAACGGACGTCTGATTGGTTTGTAATGAATTGGGTGAAAACGAGATGGGTGATGATAGGCCTATGATTAGCACATGGTGGAGAAGTCATAACAAGAACAATAACAATAACAAATAATATAATTACAATGATAATGATGATGATGAGGGGGATAATGATGATGGTGACGACGCCAATGATGTAATGATGATTTGTTTTCTTAA